ACAAAACAAAAGTATTGAATTACAAATTAAAATAAGAAGTAGATTTTTAAAAATATTTAATTGTTATTAATAATATTTTTAAAAATATTAAATAAATAATAAAAATTCGGGCTACAATAACTTCAGTGTGCACCTATGTATTAAACAATTTATGTGCAACAGATATCTAATTGTTAACATATAAAACTTTAAAAAGGTTGGTATTAAAACTTGCATAGTAGCATACAAAATGTTCAATGAGAAAATTGAGGTTTGTCTGCTGCAACCACCAGAGAATAGATATTTAAATTTAAAATTTACAAATGTGTGTGTAAATATTTTCGGCCTAAATGAATGGTTTCAAAAAGTTAAATCGGCGAATTTCTTCGAGAAAATTTCTGATACACACATGCTAAATTATATTCTCAAAATACAAAGAAATGAAATAAAAAAAGAGAAACATACACAACTATTTTTGTATTTGAATAAATATTTTCTTGGATGCAAAACCAGAGAAATAAATTTCTTTTGCACCATTGGTATGTTAAATTTCACAGAAACGAAGAAATTAGTTTTTTATTATCGAGAAAAGTATTTCAAACCCATATAGATTTTTCAACGAAAATTGTTCACAAAAAATGACAACCAATATATTTTAGTTCGCGGGCCACAAAAAAAGGCTCCGCAGGCCGGATGCGGCCCCCGGGTCGCCAGTTGAAAACCCCTGATCTAGAATATAGAACATACTCAGTATTGCATGATGGGAAAATAATCCAGAAATAATATGTTTGCACTTTGATACATTAAAAAATAAATTTCAGCATTTCTAAGTACACCAGAACTAACTTTTTCTATATTTTAAATTTTAAAATTTAATTAATTTTTTAAATTTTTAAATTTTAAAATACCAATATATGGTTAAAACAGAATTTGCCGTGCAAGATTTTTCCCGCGGTATATCCTCCTCTTGAGTTGAGAGATAACTTTGAGTAGAAAAGGTCAAGGTAGATGACAAAATGTTCTAAAAATACTTAAATCAGCAATACTGAACAAAATTGCTTTAAAACTAATAATTATTCTGAGCTCGAGACAGATTTTCTTTCAGAAAAGTACATAAATTTTTAATGAAAAGTCTTCAAGATATATAACTATACTTTATAAAAACAGGTCAACAAAATATATGCAAATGGTAAAAAATATATACATTTGAGAAATCAATATTAACGACAACAACAATAGTATTTTTGTGTTCAAGAAATATAGCATAGAATTTCTTAGTTAAGAAAATCCTCTTGATGACCAACGATCATAGAACCGAACCTAAAAATGAATAAAAACTAACTTAATGACTATAAAAAATAACTAATTTTTGATATACTTTTCTAATTAATTAAATCATTTAAATTATATTTTTTCAAAGTTAAAAATCTATTTATGCTTTTTTTCTCATTCTAAATATTGTATTTTTAGAACTATTGTGTGGTATTACTTTATCTACTATTTAGTCGTCAAGTCAAGTGCACGCCCTCTCAATTAGAAAATTTTATATATATTTTTGAAGTACAATTTCATCGAAACATTAACGAAAGTATGGGAACTACGGTTTTTTTTTATAAAATAATTATAATCGAAAATGTAAAATTCTGTTACTTGCCCGTGTATTTGATTAATAGAAGTGTAGGGGGTAGCCGCAATATGGTAATTACGGTCCCCATAGTTTGATCAGGGGAGCGATTCAAAGTTCGACCCCATAAATGTTAATTTAATTTTTTTCGTATTTCGTAATATCTCGAAAACCTTTAAAATTACATGACAAATTTTTGCACTCAATTATAAAATTTGTTTGTCCAAAGCTAATTCCATGTAAAAAATGGAATTTAGTTAATATTTATTATTTTTTATTTAATAATCATCGAAAAATTTTGAATTGTAAGGTATACAATTCTTTACACTTTTTTAAATTATGCAATTTTACATGGTAAAATGCAAAATTGGAACGAAATCGGTTGAATAGCTCCTGAGAAAACGGTTGAAAAAAAAAGGTATGTTTATTCAAAGAAAGTACGTTTTTGTGTCTGATTTCGTAACTTAGAATATCGTCAGCAATAATTAATTAGCAAATTTGAGGTCAACAACTCAAACCATTAAGATGGAGTCTTAGAATGTGAAGATTCGATCATTAAATCAAAAAGTTAATCAGGGTGGCCCGTTTTTCTTTTGATGCACTGTACATGTATGTACATGTATAGTGCGTTTTTTACGTAGTTAAATTTAACTGCTAAGAATACTAATTGCTACATTATGAAACGAGCTGATTTTTGCTAATAAAGGAATAGCTCCCAAAATGAAGCACTCACTTTTTTTTAAAACGAACCCAATAAGTAATATGTAGGGTCGATTTTGACGTATTAAAAGACCAGGGCCTCGCAATGCCTTCCCCCCCCCTTAAATGTAAGAAGAGCAATTTTTGCTTGATACTCGTTCATAAAGTTAATCAACAGGTTTTTATAGTCGAAACTTCTAAAAGGTTTAGGTTGAACGAAATCTATGAAAGAAAAGGTATAAAGACACCTTAAGATTTTATTATAAATATATTTTTTAAAAAACCGTTTACCAGATTTGCTCTTTCTGCTGAATTTTCTGAAGGAGAAATGGGATTTCTTTGTTTCGCGTTCTTCTTCTCTAGGCGAAACATTATTGGTTGATTTTCGGGTTGATGGCTTCCTCCAATGAGAACTCTCCTCTTGCGTAGAAAATGGGAAACGATCTAACCCTAGAGGGTACAAACACATATTAATAAAATAACACTTTTAGAGAATCGTCTATTTCTGAAACATGTTCAAGGGAACGTAGACCTCATTCGGATTGAAATTTGTATTTGACGTTGTACTAGAGCTGTACTGATGAATTATTGGCGACAGTGTGAAGTTCATCTTTATTGGAGACGCGGAGACAAAATTGGAACATGCGCGCTCTACATTAACATAGATTGAAGAACGAATGGTGGTAAAAATCAACCGGTCTCCGTACAATGCTTCCAAACCGCAAATAAAAATTTGAAAATGCTTTTATATGTAAAAAAAAAAATTATAACTCAAGAAATATTGGATAAATATTGGAAATACTGCACACATTTCGAATTTCGCAATCTGAAATTACGAAGTTTAAGATGCAAACTTTTTTCAATAATCGAAACATTAATAATTTTCGAAAATTATTCTTTACATAGAATTAATTATCTTAAGATACATAGAATTACATAGAATTAATTATCTTAAGATTAAAGATAGAATATTTTTGTGCGACATTACGTAATTTAATTAATAGTTAAGACTAACTAATTAGAACATTTGAAGTCTAAATTTTTGAATCATTTTTGATTTTGAATCAGTCTAAATTTTGATGGCACTGAGCTCGTGAAAATCTGATAATTAGAACAAAAGTTATAAAAAGGGGTTATCTTTTTTCCTAGTACAATGTACAACAATTTGTAACCCTGGAAATTGCAAAATTAATCACATAATTCGTAAGAGACAACTTTTGCTGTAAAGTTTTAAGTTAATACATATAATGGAAAAGGTTTTGTTTTGAATCATTGTTATTATTTTCAAGTCATAACACTATGATATTTTAAATATAAAATAATGCAAGCAAAAGAATGAATGTAACCTTCTGTTACCCTGAAATAGTTGATAAGATGTGCAATATGATTTTAATATATCTCTTCATATTAATAATTTATAACTGTCGTTGAACAGCCGAATTTTTTGATTTTATGCATAGTAATATTCAACTCCCTAGCCCTCTAATTTTGAACCTAATCCAGAAAATAAGGGAACTCCTGGATCAAGTATTGGGATAAATTTGCTCTCGTGGAGGACTTTTTGATAAAACTAGCTCGCATTTGCGTTACATTTAGAGGAAAAGCACGAAAACCTCCCACTGCAAGCTTGACAGCAAGTACAGTAAGCATGCATAAATGTTTTTTTTTTATCCTGTGTGAGAAGGAGAGAAACCAATTTAGTATAAACACTTCTCATTTGAAAATCCTCAGTCAAAATCTGCTGGCACACACCTATATGTTCTGAAATTCGATCGATCGTGAAACAACAATTTCTGTTTGATTTTTTGACGGATTGTTTTTAACCGTTTTCATCATTTTGACATGAATGTTATTGTTGAAGGACGTCCAGAACGAGCTTGGTCTGCAACGCTCAGCACCCAAACTATCACTTTTAAAGCACCCAAAAACTTGTGTACGGCTCATAGCATCCTTTTCAAAATCCCGTTTAAGCAAATTTGGAAGGTTTGCGTAGCCGGTCTTGCGCTTTGGGCAGCCATCCACTTCTACAGGCCATAGGACAACATAGGAAAGTTTTTTATACTTCATAAAACACTCGTCATTTGCTTAAAAGGCATTTATATTAAGGGGATTTAATTATCAACTACGTCAACCTAAAGGTAACTCGAGTTAGAATCAAGTTAACATCTCTTTTATACTAGTGAATTGGTATTTGATATTTGTAGTGGTAGTTACACCTCATAATTCTCCTTCTAGAATTTTATCTGTGATAGAATTTGCATGAACGAATACCACTAGTTGATTTATGCTGTTTTTTAGTTATTTAATTATTATTATTTTTTTTATTTATATCATTTCGCTCATTAAAATTTTTCTTCATCTTTGTTTACTTATATCATTTTGCCATTATTTTTTTCTTTCAATTTTGAATATTGACCGGAAGACTTTTATTTACTTCAACGGATTTTTATTATTTTTTTAACGCTACATTTTAAGCAAATCAACTGTTTAATGTGAACCACTCATCGATGGTGGCGAATTCATATCGCAGGTCACCATTGAGGGGGTATATTTTAAATCGAACGTGTCAACATTCATCTATCAAAAGGTGCCTCAAGACAGAATCAAGTTAACAAGTCTTATATACTATTGAATCGGTATTTAATATTTAGATTGGTAGTTACGCCACACTATCATAGGAAGAAAGAGTCGTCATAAAAACAGTCCTAGCATCAAGGATCTCAGGACAGGATATACATTATCAGAGCTATTTTATCTTGAGCATCAGGAAGAGCATATACATACCATTAGGAAGCGTCAAAGATTTGAAAGAGGTGACCGGAACTTTGTCGGGAATGCTGCTAGCGACTTCCCATTCACTCTGACTGTTGAACGTGGACAAGCGTCCAAACTCCCTGGAGAAGCTGCTGGTAGGTGAAACGTTGCTCTTAGGGGTTGAGGTCCTGTAAATGGAAACTGTATGTAGAATCTTTCCTCAAATAACACAAGTAAGGGCCATTTGATAATAAAATTGTTTCGCTTTTTTCTTCAGCATAGTTGACAAGTTTGTTTAAACACTTATCATTCCTTATTACGACTAGATTTAGAATACCTTCTTCATTCAAACTTGCCTCCTACTTCCTTAACCCCTTGACATATCATTTTAAAACTCTAAACTGTGCAGAACTATTAATTTCTTGATATGGGAATGATCTTTGATTGCACTGTAAACAACAGCTCGCAACGGAATGTTGACAGAGTTGTCAACCGCTCCGGACACGCCAAAATAATTTAAAAAAAAAAACGGTAAATAACAACAACCTAAATTTTTCAAATATTTGACTATTTTTGCTAGCTTTTTAAAAGGTATAGCCAGACATAACTGCTATAAAATGGTGAATTATATAAGCCTACGAATTATTTAGAAATAGTGGTGGTTAAAAATCTACTAAATTGAATTCATTAAACCACGAATCACAATTGATAAACTACCACTTTAAAATATTTATTTGCTGTCAGGAGCAAGTTGGCATCTCTGTGTTGAAGACGTCTGAGACACGTCAATTATCGTTTTGACATAAGAAGCATCTGACGTCTCCCAGACGTCTTCGTATGTCAAGGTGTTAACCAAGAGGTCACTGCAAAATAAGGAGTAGTGAAATTCCTGGTCAGCAATGCAGGGAATTTTGCTACTTCACAAATCGTAACTTCCTGCTAGTAAATGTATGCAGCAGATGGTTTTTTTTGCCGACTAAGAACACATCACTGACCTTATCTTGTGCATGGTGAGTGATTTGTTAAATTTGAATATTTTAAAGACGCAGAACTGACCGCGTACAGTTTACCTACACAGCTGCAACTGAGCACAGTTTCAGCTGTGTTGTTTGTCCGGTTCACCACATTAGAAGGCGAACGCACTATCGCCTTCAACCCTTCACCTTTATGAATTTTTCTATCAAAAAATTTAAAGCCGCGCTCGCCTCCCTATCAGGTGACTCAGGTCAATACGGATTCCGATCCCGACTCGCTCCAGCCAGAGTACTCACAAAAAAATATCTCCAGTGGTAGATGGATCAAGGGCTCATACGATTAGCCCATGCCATCGGGCTAACCGTGCGTCAGGGTTAAGCAGATAAGTTGATAATCATAAAATAAAAATTTGGTTGGCAGTTTAACTTGGGTTATGAAATTGAAAGAAAAAAATAAAGGAAAATTGAGAGAAATAAGTAACATATTTTAAAACACCGTCGTATCGCCAGTCGATTATTTTGCATAAAAGGTTAGTGTGGTGTGATCACGGGATCACCACAATGTTTACTTTTCATACTGGGCTGTCTCCAACAGGAGCGCCCTCTTCATTGCCTTTGCAGGATCTCTAGGGCTCGACTCATAGCTCGTCTTTAGAGATTCTTGCAACCGCTAAGGAGGGGACGCTATCTTTTGGAGATAGACCAGTATTCCCCGTGGATCTCGAGTAGGTGGTTGCCTTTTTGAGAGCAGCATCCTTTTTGTTCCCCCCCCCTGTGTGCTCTAGAGTTTAATCTTTGATTTTTACCGTTATAAGTTTCTGCAACCTTATCTTCTAATTATTTATTTGATGCATCATGTAATTCTACAAGGAAACATTTATTTCAATATGTTAAATTAAATTCCTATCTACTCCCTGGAGCACACAGGGAGGACCCAGCATCCACGTGGTGGATTCACTTTCTTGTGAATTGGTGAGCTGTATACTGGAAATGAACATGTTCTTAGAACCAAAATAAACAAAAAGATGGATGAACTTTTATCTACGAAAACCTGTGTTTTTTTCTTTTTCTCAAAAAAGATGTACCAGTCATCGGCGTAATTTAGGAAGGTGACATATTTTAAAACACTGATCAAATCTATCACAAGCAGTTAGCGGATGATTTGCACCTCATGTCCCTTCCTTCAACCCCCCCCCCCCCCCCGACAGTTAGTATCTGTTTTTGGAATTAATGCAATCATGTAACGCTTATAAAATATCTTGTATTTTATTTCATATCTTTTTATATTTTATATACGTCGTTGAACAGCCGACCCAATTTTTCGGGTTTACGACTATAAACGTTATTAATGTTTAACTCCGTAGCCTTGTAATTTTGAACTCAATCCAGAAGACAGGGGAACGCCTGGAGAAATTTGCCTTCGTGGAGGACTTTTTGATGTAACTAACCCACATTTGCGTTCTATGGAGAGGAAAACCATGAAAACTTCCCACGGTGAGTTAGAATTCCCTTGCCATCAGGCGATGGCAAGGGGATTCTAACCCATGATCCGTCTACCACTGAGGATATTTCACGTCAGCACTGTGGTAGGTGTGGATGCTGAACTCGAAATTTCTGGATTTAGGGTTATTTATTATGTCCGTTCTACTGCGTCACCATATTTGATATGTATCGCCATAATGATTATTTCAAAACATTTGAGTTATTTTTCCAAGCTAAAATTGAACACATAAATATATTTTTTCAATGCGTGTAAGAGTAGATTACTGTGAAAGTAATGGCAATATTCACGTGTCAGTATTTATGTGTTGATTGTTTGAACATACTTATGCATTCTGTGTAAGAAAAAGACAAAATTTTTTTACATAAATATTTCATAAAAGCATAACAAAATAATAATTAAGTTCCTGAAAAATAATTTTTAACATGGATAAATAAGTTTTAAATAATATCTTCAATATATTTCCGACTAAAAAAAATACCGCCGTTTCGTACGTTGGCAAGCATCAAAACACTAAATTACCATTTTAAAAATCTTAACACAGTAAAATATAATTCATATATTGCTGGCTGCTATTTGTTTTTTATATCAACTAACCCTTCTATTTAAACTTTTTATCTCCATTTTTGTTTGTAAACAAAAAATTTTTTTTTTGTGTTACATTGGCTCAGTTAACACTATGAATATCCTAAATCAACTCTTTCGGTTAGAAAAAATATTTAAGTATTCACAGAAAAATTTTAAAATTAAGTTAATTCATGTCACTAAATACAATTATTAATTTACTCTAAATATTTTTACTATGAATTAAACGCGTTATCAGAGCTTAGGGATTTCATGCATGTTCCCACGTTTTGAGAACTGTCCACTACATGTTTTAACAGCATGCAAAGTCCTCGGGCACAAAAATGTTTTACACCCCTATAACATGCCACAATGTTTAAAAACGAACAAAAGAAACTTCCCATACATAAAATAAACCATTTTTAAGATATGATGCAACAATTTTAACAAATTTAAACACATTTTGATTACCCCAAAAACTTAAATAAAGCATTTCTAAATTACGCGTAATTTAAAAAAAAAAATTTAAGATGCTAAACAGTTGTAATCCTCATATAATAAAGTAATTTTCAAAACCATGGAAGTTAATTGAAATAATTAAATTAAATGAACATAAAGGCATAACAATTCAAAAAAAATATTCGAAAGGTATGAATTATTTTGTCAAACTAAACAGTCATTAAAATATCTTTCAATGCCTAAGTAACTAAAATTTTCATTCGAACGTAGAAAAATAGATTTCGGTTTGCCTTTTTAAGTTTTCCTGGCGATAAAACTATTCAAATTATTGGTATTTGCGCGATAATCAATCACTATTTGTAGAGAAAACAAAGGAAAATGCACATTTAATCGAATAAGATATATTTTTAAAAAATATTTAAAGCAACGTTGTTTATTCTTTTTTTAAAAGAAATACAATTTATAAGAAGTAAGATTCTCAGTGGCCCCCTGTCACTGCCCGGATGTGCCCATGCGTAAACAGGGTGCGTAGCCAAATCTTTCAACAAAAAATAAGCACCTTTTAAGCACTCAAAAAATAGTTTTAAGCACTATATTCATTAACAAAATACAAACTATTCCTGCCTATATAAATATTGCTCATTTTTTGTATAGAAAAAAAAATCCCCATAAAATATCGATTTTCATACTGTACCTGTGAATCTCCTTCACTCCAGGGGGTAAGTCCTCTTCCAGAGAATAGGTGATCCCAAACTGCGGTCTCAGAAGAACATCCGTGGGCAGAAGATTCGGAATGTCCTCCACTGTCGGTGACTGTCTGCTGTTGCTGCTCGAATCTGACAATTCACTGATATCGCAACTGAAAGTAAAGTTCTTATTTGGAGAAGGGGGGTTTGGGGGAATAAAAGAAGGGGGTTCGGCATCCAGAAGTGTAATAACATTCCTTTTAAGTAGCTCTCGGACCCTGTGGAATTTCGATCTGAGTTGCTGCATGCGTCCATCGTCACTTTCCGTTGCCCACATAGCCATGTTTGATTCTTGAACAACAAATGAAACAGAGGTGAGCTGTGGGTGATTACGTGTTCCCGGTGGAGATGTTATCTTATGTGATAAGAGGTTATTGTTATCTTCGCTGAGTTGAGTATTTGGAATGGCAAGTGGATTCTAAAAAAGAAACAGGATCTCAGTAAATCTAAAGTTCAGTAAGTTTATTATCTTATGGTTATATTTTAGACATATGCGGCATTAGGCTTAAGTTTAAATCATATTTTGTTAGATAAAAAAATAAGCTGCATTCATAACAAATACTGTGTAAGGCATAAATAAGAATCAAACAGTCTATCTTGCATTTTTCACAATAAATCGGACATTTTCTACATTAAAACTATATTTCCCAATTTGTGACAATTAAAACCAAAGCCAAATATTTTTTCAGATACTAAAAAATAAACAGGATCTCTATAAATCTGAAGTTCAGTAAATTTATTATCATATGGTAATATTTTAGGAATATGAGGCATTAAGTTTAAATCATAATATGATAGTTAAAAATTTAAAAATTGCATTCCTAATAAATACTGTGCACATCATAAATGAGAATAAAATAATCTCTCTTGCATTTTTCACAATAAATCGGATATTCACAATAAATCGGATCGGACAATAAATCGGATGCCAAATTCTTTAAAATTTTATTATTTATCATCATCACTGATTAAACAACGCATATGAATGATCCTTTAAAAATGTAGCATTCCAAAAGGGACAAACATGCTTTATGAAGCATATATTTTTTTAAATCTCAATTATAATTAAAATGTATCTATACATTTTATCAGGAAATATACTTTGTTGTGAACTTTACTTGCATTTGATAAATAAATTAATTATTATTTTACTTTAAGCAACAAAAAATGTTCTATCTAACATTTCCTTATTATTTGTAGCATATATTCTTACTACAACTTATACAACTAACATTTTTTCAAAATTTTCATGCTAATGTGCTCGATAAACAAACAAGCATGTCTTCAAATTCTAACTTTTATCTTTAATTTCGATGATAAAATGACATTCGAACGATTCCATTCTTAATCATCGAAGAATCATTTAAAAATGCACTCTCTAAAAGCATGTTAATTCAATTAAAAAAATTCTAGGAGTTCTAACAATTTTTGTTTTAGTGTCAGCAGCAAGTGTAAATCAACAAGACTTATTTTCCCCAAAAATCATTAGAATTGTTTGAATTTTTTCAAATGAGTGACATGCTTTCAAAATCTGCAACTTAATCCTATTTTTAGAGGATTTTATAAATTAAATTCATTAAAAAAACCGGCTGCTTCTGACATAACATATTTGGGTAACGTCCTTGTCTTGCTGAAATATGCATAACATATTTCCTAACATTAAAAAAAATATTATCTTATTTAATCCTTTTTCAATAGCTAAAAATAATTAATATAATCTATAATATTTTTATAACTCAACCATAAATTGAACGCAGAATAAAATCTATTTTTAGAGTTTCCCTCTACATCTGCCTAAACACATTAGCATGGGATTTAAAAATCGTTTTTTATGGTTGCAGATGTTTTGATTTCATTAAAATTGTCTATTATTTCTTTTTATACCTTTCTAAGGCTTTAATAATATTGGTGATTTTATTTTATCGGATACGCAGCTTTATAAATTTGTAACCAACTTCGAAGATAAGGGAACCCCTAAAATATTTTTTATTTCCTTTATTCCTATCGCTTTTTTTTCACGTTGTGATTTTAAAGCAGCAAATTGTGCACCGTTGCAACTTCGTAATTTCAAATTTGACTCAAAAGACAAGGTATTTTTGAGTCAATCAAGAATATAAAGAACTAAAATCGATTTTCTAACATACCTCTTTTTGAAAATCTGATGAATTCTGGTTCGAGTGGTTATCCGTGGAGAAAACATCTAAAGAGTTGTTTTCATTATTAAAATTCTTGTCTTCTGTTTCCCTAAAAGAAACAATTCCGAAATTAATATTTACTCCAGACATAAAGAAGGTAAAATAAAATGTTTTATAAAAAGTTGTTTAAGAAAGAAAATCAGATATCTCTTGTTAACGCGAGGAATCTAAGCTTAAGTAAGTGTTACTAAATCAGTGACTTATAGGCTATGAATGAAAATCGTAATTATTTTTATATTTCTTTTATTAATGTCAAACAAATTAGTGTAACTAAAAGGTGATATAATTCTACTTTTTAAAAATAGATAAGTGATAAAATATAACGTTTATAATCCTTGAAGATGTAAAAATGATATTTTGAAATCCAAAAATTGGCAAATGTTGGTAGATTTAAAAACAAATATTTATCTAACTAGATTTAAAAGCTGATTTTTTAAGAGAAATAAGTCGATTAAACGATACGATTTTTCAAAGACATCCAATTCTTACGAAGAATTTATTATATCAATCAGAAAAATTAGAAAATACCTCACAGAAGAGTTATGAAGATTTTTTAAATACTTATTTAATAATTCAACTATAAAGAAAATCAAAAGATTTGTACTTATTAAAAAAAAGATTAAAACATGTATCTCAGAAAAATACAGAGTTAGAAAAACCCTAAAGTTAGGTATAGAAATAGAAAAAAAAATTTTAAATAAAAAAGAGTTTAAAGAAGAAAAAAAGACGTTAAAATCTAACATAACCCAAAATTAACTGATTGCTAAAAGTCATAATTTTTATTAATTTATTTCTAATTTAAGTAAATATAATATTTTAGGTTCTAGTGTGCATTATCAAATTCTTAAAAAATAATAATATGAATTTGTAAGGAATACTTACATAGCAGGCCAATCATCGAATTCTGCCAGCACATTGTCCAAAACTTCTAGAGTTTTGCGGTATTCCTCAAGCCTAAAATACAAAAACTCACTCTATCAAATGAGCGCATTAGTATTGTTTTTAATACACATCTTTCTGGAATAAGTTTTTAATTGTTTTAGCATATTTTAACACATCTGTCTATATATTAGGCATTTTCTAATGTAGCGGTTCTCAACATTTTTAGTTGTTTGGACTATCAATTTCGTAAAAAAAGAGGTCTACGAACAACTAAATATGAAAATTATATATATTTTTCAATGAAACATCGATGAACGAAATCAAAACATGATCGTTTAATTTTCTAGCTCTCTTTTTGTTTCAGGACCAGTTTTCCAGACAGGCTCATCGACCAGTTTTCAATTTTATCATTCAATAAAATTGCTTTCAGTTATTTCATTATTCAAATTTATTTGTCAGATATTTCCTTTCCAAAATTCACGAAAACTACGAACGAAAGCTACATAACACTCTGAATAACTTTTGATTAAAATATTTGATTTTCACTAAGATACTATTTTAATGATTCACAGGGTAGATTTTAAATAAACTTTTTAATTCGTGATAACTAGTAACTAATTCACTAAATTCGACACAAAAAAAGAGGTTTTTCCTTATACATGTGCTTTTTTCGACCCTGAAAGCATGAAGCATAATCGTACATTGGAAAATAAAATCTAAATAGTTAGGTCAAGAAAATGGCAATAAGTTCAAGCGTCTTAATTTTATTGCTGGCATGTTTAGCCATATCTCAGAATCTATTTTAACAATCAGAATTTTTTTTTGCAGGGTGCTATTTATTTCGATGCGGTTTTTGACCTGCAGAACGTGGGGTGCATTCTCTGGTATACGTTTCGTGGCAGCTATAGTTTCAATAGTTAAAATGAGAAAACTGTTGATAAGAGACTCTGTATGGCGATTTTAATTTCAGAGCCGTGGTGACGTTCGCCTTCCAATGAGGTGAACTGGATTCGAATCCCAGCGATGGCTGGTTGATGCGAATTCCATACTCGGCTCACACCGACCACAGTGCTGACGTAAAATATCCTCAGTGGCAGACGGATCATGGGTTAGAGTCCCCTTCTGTCGGGCTAGCTGTGGGTAGTTTTCGTGGTTTCCCTCTCCATGTAAAGCAAATGCTGGTTAGTTCCATCAAAAAAGACCTCCACGAAGGCAAATTTCTCTAAATACTTTATACGGGAGTTCCATTGTCTTCTCGATTGGGTTCAAAATTACGAGGAGACGGAATTGAACATCAGTAGTTGTAAAATCAAAAAAGTTGGTCGGCTGTTCAACGACGATTATAAAATTATATATGAAACAAATATGAGTCGTGAGGGCTTAAGGAGTAGAGTGCTCGCCTTCCCATAAGGTGACCGGGCTCTAATTTCAGCGATGGCTGGTTGATACGAATTCAGCATCCGGTTTGCACCGACCACAATGCTGACATAAAATATCCTCAATGGTAGACGAATCATGGGTTAGAGTTCTCTTTCCATCTGGCTAACCGTGGCAGGTTTTCGTGGTTTTCCTTTCCATGTAACGCAAATGCGGGTTAGTTCCATCAAAAAGTCCTCCTCGAAGCCAATTTTCTCCCACTATTTGATACAAGAGTTCCCTTGTCTTATGGATTGGGTTCAAAAAATTTCAAGGCTATGGATTTGAACATGAGTAGTTATGAACCCAAAAAATTCGACGGTTATGAAATAAAATAAAAATTTGATTTTAAAGCTCTAAATTTATTCAAACATTTTTTTTTCATGTCTAAATTTATTCATACATATTTTTTTTCACGATTATAAAAATAATTCATGTAAAGATAATGGAGTCCCCACTTGAAAATTCCACCTGGCAAGTAGGGTAGGGGTCATAATAGTAGATATGATCCATCAATGTGGAGGAGGAAAGTATGTGTCAAGGGATAAAATGTACTTTCATTATCCACACTCAAAGGAGGCTGTGTATTGTTATGAATAGATTTTTGTACATGCAAAATTTTGAATAATATAAGTCTTAATGAATGCTTCTCAGCTTTGCTCTGTAAATAACTAGATAGTTCTAATTTTACATTTCTATGATTGATCAACTTGGGTAATGCATAGTCAGATTGCAGCGATTTTGTTGTTACAATTTGTTACTACCTTCCTCCAACAAAAATAAGCGAATCCCACAGCACTTTCCCCCATTAGGTGCTTTCGTAAGATTTGGACTGCCCCGTAAAACCAATCCACTATAGATATATATTTCAAATCAAAATAGTTGTACAAAATAAATGAAATAATTTGACTGTTCATTTCTTTAGTATTTTTATTGCTATTTTTAGAATATATATGCTTATTTGATGATAATGAAAAGCATACTATAATGGCAATTGCATCTACTATTTTAAATTGACGTTATAAGGGGCATATACTGAATATTAATATTTGGCCTGAATTCGAGAAGCAACTGAGGCTCCAAAGGGATTTACCCTTCCAGTCCCATCTGAGTGAAGGTCTTGAAAAATAGGAGTTACGATGAGTAATGTGCTCTTTTCCACTTTGCTTGTGCCGAGGTGGCTCGGGGGATAAAGGTTCGCCTTCTAATGAAGAGAACCGGGTTCGAATCCCAGGGATATGAATTCGCTCGCACAGACCACAGTGCTGACGTAAAAATATCCTCAGTGGTAGATGGATCATGCGCTAGAGTCCTTTTGCCATTGGGCTAACCGTGGTAGGTCTTCGTGGTTTTCCTCTCCATGTAACGCAAATGCGGGTTAGTTCCATCAAAAAGTCCTCCACGAAGGCAAATTTCTCCCAATACTTAATCCAGTAGTTCCCTTGTCTTCTGAATTGTGTTCAAAATTGTAAGGCTACGGAGTTGAACATTAATAGTCGTAAACCCAGAATTGGGTCAGCTCGGAAAAATTTCTTTAATTAACTAATTAATTTTTTAAGTTTGTTAAGTTGAAGTAGCAAAAAGAGAAATAGATTAAATGTTGCCAGATATATGTCTTAACATTTGTGTTGACATTTTTAAAAATATAAAAAACTTAATTCAGAAAACTTAAAAACCGTTGAACTGTTATAGTGTATGCAAGGTAGTCGTAATAGATTTTTTTACGAGTTAAATTAGTTCTCATTTATTTATGCGTAACAGCAATAGAAAGGTCAGTAATGATAAAACACTTTGCAATACGTAATTTCTTTAAAAGTCTTTTCATATAAATCTATATCATATCTTTTCATATAACTATACGTCTTTTTCATAATTATGTCGGTTTACATATCAGCTCACGGAACGACGTTTTAACTGTATAACTAAAATATATCACAATGAAACCAATTTATGAAGCTCTTCACGAAGTCTCAAATAAATAAATAAAACCCGAAGCGTTTTCAATTTGCGACGGGAACGCGTGCCATTTATAAAAGTTTTTTGCGTGTTATTAGTGACACGACAGCTGCCTGTTGTCACTCGTGTTTTAAAGTGTCGATATAAATTTAAACAGAGCATAAACGCGCTGAAAGAAAAGGAACGATTCTTTATACATACCAGTTATTGAAGAACATCCTTGATACTTTCCTTTAATAGAACAGATAAACGGAATAGAAAGTGGAAATGAGTCGTGACGTCATTAACAGCTTCATTACATATTTAATTGATGCAGAGAATAACTGTTGTTTTAGTCATTCATTTGTGAACAGTAACGGACACTCCAGTTGTTTGAATGATTAAATATTATTTTAACCCATATGATGTAAGAAACGCTTATTCTATGGCATTATATTTATTTAAGAACATTAAATAAACACTGAAGTTATTTGAATGGTTAAATATTATTTTATTGAAATTCATGAGTGGTTTTTGAACTGAAGAAGAAAAGAAAAAAAACACGAAGAAAATTAAGAAAAGCAATAAGTTTTAATTACTGCGCATAAGCTGCAAGTAAATAGAACTCATAAAATAAGTTCGAACTGTAGAGAAAACATGGAAAAAATTACAGAACAATGAAAAAAGGGGGTAAAAGAAAAATAATAATAAAAATAACGGGAAACTGGGAAAAAAACGGAGAAAAAGGAAAAAAAATTAATAAAAATCCGGAAAATAAAAGATATTATCTTTTCATCAGCTCAAACGATTATATACGCAAAAAGGAGAATATATATATATATATATATATATATATATATATATAACGT